ATCTACTTCCTGAGCAGATGCAAGAAACACATCATCATCCCCAGAGGACTCTCCATCTCTAACCCTCGGACCACTACATACAACTCCAAGTGTGTGGGAAAGCTCTGCAGAAGGACCTCGGAAAAACTGAGGAACCATCTTACATACTCCAGAAGGGAACTCCTCAAACAAGAAATTATCACATGCTCCCAAACACTGGAAGGAAACAAAATAAAAATCAGGAAACCTACCTGGAGATCATTCAGGAAACTCAGAACAACCCTAAAAAAGGCTGATGACAGCCATCCAACACAAAAACAAAAAGTGGAACCACCTCTGGGAGATACCATGACACCAGGACCCCCATGAGGACAATACACAACACCTCAACATCATCAACCTATCAAGACTTCCCCTAACTGGAACTGAAGTATCTGTACTCTCCAGGAGACTGGATTTCTGCCCCACCACAGAATCTGATACCATACTAACATGTGGAGAACTAGAAGAATCCTTCTGCTGACACCAGCTCAAAGAATTCTGTCACAACAAAGATACCACTACCCACAACTATCATATCCCCACCAACAGTCATAAGAAAAAAAAGAATAATCTGACTGGACACCCTCCAGTAGACAAAAACCACACATTGGATGATAACATCCATTGCTTCAGGGGAAAGAAATCAGTGATATTCTCAGCAAATATTGTATCTACCACAATCTCTCCACTACTGACATAAGAAAGCTATACAGCCAATTAAATCCAACCATCAGATAGCGATCAAACCAGCAGACAAAGGGGGCACCATCATAGTCTTTAATAGTGATGCCTACGTCAACGAGGCTAACAGACAACTCTGGCAACCTACTATAAAGAACTCAAAGGAGACCCCAAACCACAGTTTACACAAGAATTTAAAGGTACCATCAAATCCTTCCCCAAACAACTCCAAGAGAAACTCTACAACCTCATCCCCCATTAACCCACCCTAGAGACCTTTTACATGCTCCACAAGACACACAAACAAGGGAACACAGGCAGACCCATCATACCTGGCCCTGGTACTCTTACTGAAGGAATATAGGACTCATAGAAACCATCTTCAAACCACTCACCACACAAAGAGCCAGCTTCTTCTAAGACACTACTGACTTCCTGCAGAAACTCTGCAACTTTCACAACCTCCCAGAGAACACCATCCTTGCCACAATGGATGCCACCTTTACATACACCAACATCCTTCACCATGATGGCATCACTGCCTCCCTCAAATACTTATAAGATAACATACATCACTCTGAAATCCACCCCAAATGCATTGACAAACTCACCCACAGCAACTTCACATTTAACAAACACTTTATCCAAACCATGGGAAAAGCCATGGGTACTAGGATGGTTCCTCGTTAGGCCAACCTCTTCATAGGCCACCTTGAGGAAGGATTTCTGGAAAAAATGGACCACGAAACCGATGATATACCTGAGTTACATCAATGATATTTTCATCCTCTGGAGAGATGACCTAAACTCCCTCAGATTTCCACCATAACTTTAATAACCACTGTCCATCCATCAAATTCTTTCTAGAACACTCCCACACCAGCATCAATTTCCTGGACACCATGATCAACTTCAACAATGGAACCCTATAGACAACTATCTGCAAGAAGTCCATGAATCACCACACTTACCTCCACAGATCAAGCAGCCACCCTAGAAATGTCAAGAAATAAGTTTCTCAGCCAGGCACTCAGGAACCACAGAATTTTCTCTGAAGAGAAAGTCTGCATACACACCTAAACGCATTTAAAACCACCTTCACTAAACAGGGCACTCCACCAGATATATGGACCACATCATGGAAAAGGCCACCCAAACTCCCTGGGAGAACCCATTTCAACAGTCTGGGGGGAACCGCTCACCATGCATCCCAATTTGTCACCTACCACCTCACAGTGGAAGAAGTCTTTTCTGAACCCACCCTTCTGGCCTGCAAACAACCCCCAACCCTCACCAACCCCATCAACAGAAGAAAGCTCCCCACAGACCAGGGCACACCAACTGAAAGCAGCACCAGACCCTGCCAGAACAACAGATGCAAAACCTGTAAACATATCTCCACTGCTACAATGATCAACATCTCCACACATAACACACCTTTCAAGATCCATGGATCATATACATGCCTATCACAACATGTGGTGTACCTCATCCAGTACATGAAATGCCGCAACAACAACTATGTGGGTGAAACCAGACAGTCACTATGCTCTTGAGCTCACAAAGAAAAGACAAAAACACCATATCATCCATGAGCAAACACTTTTCATAAATTGATCACTCCATATATGACCTCTTAGTCCTCTTCCTCCAAGGAAACCTGCGTAATACCGTCAAAAGATGAGTCTGGGAACTTAAATTCATAACTCCACTAGACCCTAAAAACCATGGACTTAAACAGAGACACTGGGTTTATGGCTCATTAGAACGATTTGTAACACACCCTACCGCCTGCTAGCATGTGTGAACCCCTTATGCTTAACAATCTGTCTCAACTTGTATTTAGCTCAGATGCTCTGGTTACCTTCCCCAGTCCTGAGAAAGAGCTCAAAAAGCTTGTCCCTTCCACCAGCAAAGGTTGGTTCAGTAAAAGATATTACTTCACCTATCTTGACCCAAAGGCAAGTCAAGAAAAGTGCCATGCTCTACAACAGGGGTAGGCAACCTATGGCACATGTGCCGAAGGCGGCACACGAGCTGATTTTCAGTGGCACTCTCACTGCCTGGGTCCTGGCCACCGATCTGGGAGGCTCTGCATTTTAATTTAATTTTAAATGAAGCTTCTTAAACATTTTAAAACCCTTATTTACTTTACATACAACAATAGTTTAGGTATATATTATAGACTTATAGAAAGAGACCTTCTAAAAATGTTAAAATTTATTACTGGCATGCGAAACCTTAAATTAGAGTGAATAAATGAAGACTCGGCACACCACTTCTGAAAGGTTGCCTACCCCTGCTCTACAAGCACAAAATAAAATACAGGACATAAATCAGGGAGAGGGTATTACAACAGGTTCAGGCACAATTTACCAAAATAAGGAAATGAGGAGGCAACAACACTGTGCTTTGGTGCTTTCTGTCAGGAGGAGGTTCCAGAAGGAGATTGACAGGTAAAGTTGGGATCAAAATCATTCCTGAATGGATGGTAGGGGCTGAAAGTGATTTGCTGAAAAAAAATTTTTTTGGAAGCTGTGCTTTTGACATGCCCTCCTTGTGGATACCGTAGGACAGGCCATCTTAACATGTGTTTTCTTCTTTTACTGTTTGTGAAAGAGACAGAAGATGGAGTGGAATTCTTTTGTGTTGCTTTGGGATAAATGAGTACATTATTGAGAAGACTATTTTGTTGCACTGACAACTGTTAATTAAACAAATTATGTTAAAAGATGAGCAGCATGTTTCTATTTCTTCCTATTGTTCAGTGGGTGCTCTAGGGGACTGTGAATCTAAATCCAAATGATAAAAAGGTTCAGAGAACTCTGCAGTCAACTGCACCCCAAACAAATACTCAGCACCAGGAAAGGCTCTCATATCGGGAATTACAAAAACAAACAGTGCTTCATGAACCATTGTCTTCTAGGTAGCATTGCCATCTGCCCCACATGGCACTGACAAGAGTGGATCCACCAGCTAGCTCCTGAAGAGCTCAGAGGGCTGTAGTGTTCAGTTTTCCCTTCCCTTACAAAACGGCTACATCTGGCATAAAAAGCCAGGGCCTTTTGGGGAAGGCAGTGTTGTCAGGGTGAGGGGGCAACTCTGAGGGAAAGAGAGTAATGCAAGGACCCCTCAAGGGTTAGGATCATTTGGATATACCTATGAATACTTATCCTGGATCTAACCTGTACCCCCGACAATGGAGTCAATAAGGATCTCTGTAGTTTCAGTTTGTTGTGACATTCTAGTAGTGCTGTGTGATAGTAAATAGTTACTGTGTTCCACCCCAGAGGTGGCTGAACCTCAGTGATATGGGAGAGGATACTTGAATACAGTTTTGCATGACACTCATTCCTGCAGTCTTACTCAGGCAAAACTTCTCATGAAGTTCATTGGACTAAATGAAGATTTACAGCCAAAAGTTTGAAAGTCCGCTTGCAAAGTGATTTGGGCTTCTGCTAGATGAAACACACTGTTACCCATGTAAGACCCCCGATCCTGAAAAATTTCATAGATGGACTTAATCATAAGTGTGGGAGTAGCTCCAAAGAACACAGTGAGCATGTGCTTAATCTAAATATCGCCTGAATCAAGGTCTAACTCATTATCATTATTTGATCTGGTGTCCAAGTTATATGCAAGCTTCAAATTTACCATTTCAAGTAATGGTCTCTCTCTAACATTTTCTTAACATGACTCCATCTGACTGCATAGCCTTGTATTTATCCATATGAAAATTTAAGATCTTGGTTATTACATGATTCTTTATTATAGACTCATTTGTAAACAAGTCATTGGTTTTCCCCATTCTAGCACATGCTCATTGAATTGAAGAAACATTTTCTATCATAATTACATTTCAGCTTATAGAACTTCACATGTATTTAAATCAATGTAAAAAGTATCTTTGTAACGGAAATATTTTAATCATATTAAAATAGATAAATCAGGATCAGAACAAGATCATTCTTTTCTAGACAGCCTAACTGAGATGTCTGCTACTACTTCTTTCATTTGGTTTTTTTGAAGTTGATTTCTTAGTCCTGCTAAACTCTATGGAAGATATTTACTTATAATCATATTTACACAATTAACTTAAGCAAATGTACTGTAGTCAGAGTAACTTAATTTAATGTACAACCAAAGTTGCACTTAATTTGATTGTGATCAAAATGCTTCAAAAATGCAACTCTCTCGGTTAGCCTAACCAGAGTGAATGAGCACATCATATTAGTATGAAGAAATCTGCTGCTAGATTTTATCACCAAAAACAACAACAACTAAACATTGATTCTTACCTTTCCAAAACTCCCTTTCCCAATAGCTCGCAGTATTTGAAAGTGGTCAAAATTAACTGTAAAAGCAAATAGAAAAAAGAGAGGAATAATAGTTTGTAAAATGCAGACTCAGAATCAGAAAGAGTTATTTAAAAATTAAAAATAATGCAATGTTGCCTTCTCTTGTGACTTGATCACAACTCTCATGATATTTAATGTTTTTCTTAAAATCCCAGGTCCTGGAAATGAAAATATGTTTGATGGGGGTGGGGGAAGCATTGTATGCAGTGTTGTTGTAGCCAGTTTGATCCCAGGATACTAGAGAGACAAGGTGAGTGAGATGATATATTTTATTGGACCAGCTTCTGTTAGAGTAAGAGAGAGAAGCTTTTGAGCTTACACAGAGATGACCTTCCCTCTTTAAAAATAGTTGTTGCAGAGAAAAACCTGAAAGTATGAACTGAATGTAACCTAAATACTCAGAAACCAGTGGGTTAATTTTATTTTACTTAATTTTTTAAAAAATCTCACAATATTTTTTTTTGGGGGGGGGGGGTGCTACTTTGTGGTTTTTGAACATCTAGGATTGGCAATACTGGGCCAATGGGAGGGAGAGGGAGGAATATATCCTAGTGAGAAGTGGATGACCACAACTGTTGCTTTCCCCATCCCCCACCCAGAGATAGGTGTCAATTCTGGCCCATGAGTGAATTTTGGGTTGCCTGATTCCACTCCTCTCCTGAGTCAGTCTTATCCACTTTTGAGGTCACTGGCTCTAGACCAATAACTGTCTACAGTTCCCCAGCACAGCAGAGATGGTTTGGAATTTTCACCATTTCATCCACACAGCAAAATGCATTTTGCAGGGCTCCAGAATCAATGCCAACCTCATAGGGGTATTTCATTGTTTGTATAAAAACAACAAGGAGTCTGGTGGCACCTTAAAGACTAACAGATTTATTTGGGCATAAGCTTTCGTGGGTAAAATCCTCACTTCTTCAGATGCATAGAATGAAAGTTACAGATGCAGGCATTATATACTGACACATGGAGAGAAGGGAGTTACTTCGCAAGTGGAGAACTGGTGTTGACAGGGCCAATTCAATCAGGGTGGATGTAGTCCACTCCCACTAATAGATGAGGAGGTGTCAGTTCCAGGAGAGGAAAAGCTGCTTCTGTAATGAGCCAGCCACTCCCAGTCCCTATTCAAGCCCAGATTAATGGTGTTAAATTGTTTGTATAACACATCAAAGATCTTCAGACAAGAGAAACTACAGAAAGTGCAAAAAGTCTGGTTAAAAAAAATATGTGTTACTGTCATTATGTATGGGATCCTCCCCTCTGCCACAAACCTAGACACTCAGGGTATGTCTACACTGCAATTAGACACCTGTGGCTGGCCCATGCCAGCTGGCTCAGGCTGCAGGGCTGTTTAATTGCACCATAGAAATTTAGGCTCAGGCTACAGAGGACCCTCCCACCTTGTAGGGTCCTAGAGTCTGGGCTGCATTCCAAGCCTGAATGTCTACACCACAATTAAACAGCCCTGAGCCCGAGCCAGCTGACAAGGGCTAGCCACAGGTGTCTAACTACAGTGTAGACACATCCTCAGTGAAAGCAAGTTACTTCTCTTCAAGTCTGATTTATTATTGAAAAGGTCATTCTCAAAACAGTAATAACTAGTAAACTAAAAATTCCATACTAAAGTGTATCTGCACGTACACTTTCTTCACTCCTTCCCTCAGGTCCCAGCTCAGGCTACTCCCATCCTCTCTTGTAACCACATGGGATAATGAGCCAAATGCACCAGTGAGTCAGCAAATCAGTTAATTTAACAGTTTTCAGCAGTATCATGATCTCCTAATAGGCAAACACTGCCATCCTGTTACAGATATGCAATAGCAATGGTAGTAGTAACCACTCTCAGGGCCTCATCTCTTTGTTCAGGCAGAAAATCCATTGAAGTGAAAGGGAGTTTGGATGGTGTAAAAGGATCCGCGTCAGTCCTTCCCTATATGGTTTGTTATCCCAGTGCAAAATGTAATTTAAAAAGAAACACACAATTTTCTTAGATGTAATACAAAGCCTACTTCAGAAGATTTTTATCTTAGCATAGAATGGATTTACTCCAGAGTCACACTAATATAAATTAGAGTAGTATCTGCCCTAGAGACGTTTGCATAACGGTGTGAGAGAGCAGATTTTGGCTTTCAGAACCTTTCTTAGTGGTAGTGTTCCATGAGCTAGATTGAAGGTCACACTACATTCTAAGCCCAGGTTAGGTGGTCGGGCTGGTAGGTAAGGCAAAAATCCATCATTATACTGGTAGTCTGAGCAAATTTGATATTGAGACACAACTATGGGAATGTGTGATTCAGTTTTTACAATCACTTGGCAGAACAGAATCACACTTTAAAGTGAAACCCAAATGCTACAAAACCACATGAACTGAAAATGGCAAAATTTATTGAAACTTATTTAAAAAAAACCCAAGAACTGGCAACCTGTGTGTTGTTCTAGCTTTGGCTGTCCATTTCTAATGTGCCCACCACTGTGTTAACTGGGCATCTGCAAAATTATGTATAGCATCTTTGCAAAGTTGCTCTGAAAATGTACCACTTCAGGCAAAAAAAACCTACTCACAAATAAACAAAACTTCCTAGTCATACTTTATACATACCTGTTAAAAATATCTACCAGCCCAGGTCGAATGGGAGAGTAGAACCTCTTAAAGTTGATGTCAGTTATATGACATGGTTGCAATTATACAATGGGGCTGCCTGTGATAGCAGGAGACTGGTCTTGATGACCCAGGAGCTCCCTTGCAGTCCTAAGTCCCTATGTATAGCAAGTCAATGGGAAGGGCTGACATCTCAGTGTCACCCTGTAACAATGCTTGTAGTGTGTTTTGTTAACTCAATTAATGATATTTATAATATATTTAAATATTAGATAATTTTTGCTAACTTGCAGCATCTTCAAGGAAGCATTGTTGGTCCATTTGTTAGTGCTGCTATAACAAATATCTGCTTGATAATCACCCAGGAATTGAACCCAGGAAGCAGGATACTAGAGTGTGAGCTAAACAAAGCAGTGGGTTAAAGGGGAACAATAGCAGAGTCATATCATCTACATGGATCAGGTACAGTGGGTACGCGTAACACACACTGAAGAGTGGGCTACACTGCTGTTGGTGGAAAGCTTATCAAACAGATGAGTCTAATAATATTTTGCTCCAAATGAGGGCTTGCTGCTGAAAAAACTGTGCTCCCCTCCCTTGGCCCTGGTCAATCCATGATCAAAGCTGGTGTCCAGGGGATCTGTTCTTTCAGTGATCCAGAACTAGTGAAGCCCCAATCCACCGAGGTTTCTGCCGTTTTATGCCCTCTTCCAGCTAGTCACGCTGCACAGCTGCACCCACTGAAGTCAGCCCAAAGGAGTGACTTGCAGGATCAGTGACCAGCATCTCAAAGCTGATCAGAGATGTACATCCTTGTAGCATGTAAAGGTTAAGAGAGAGGTGCTCCCCTCCACTCTTGATTAAATGGTAGAGAGTGATTTTTACCCCACTATTTGGCAGCTTTTCTCCTTTGCAAACAAGCTTAACTCTGTAACTCACATACTACACCCCTTTTGATATTTCTTATACATTTTATTGATTTGGTTTTAAACCAGACACCTCTGTTTAAAGAAAATGTCATTTGATTGAGCATGGCCTCCTGCCTGCACTCCTTAGGCAGGTAAAAGTCCTATTTATGTGAATAGGAGTTTGGCCTCAGAAAGGATATGATTGGGCTCTTTAGCTAGGCCATAGATTGATTTTGGCTAGACCAGCGTAAGACTTGTTAGGCTGGATTTCCTCTCAATATAATCCAGGAGAAAATTGAAGTCAGTGGCAAAGCTCCCTCACAGCTTAGATTAAAACCAGAGTTGTGGGGTCTGGGTCAATGCTTAGATAGGACACTCCCCTCCAGCATCTCTTCTGCAAGAAGTAGTGCTGCTGATTCAGTAGGTGGCACTCTTTCCTCTAAGTCAGTGCTGACCCAGTGCTCTCAGCATGATGCTAGAGAAGGGTAGAAGGGACATTTTTTTCAGATGAGACGTCAGTCAAAAGAGCAATATTCAATTTTAGGACTATGATATTTTAAACAGTAGACCTATCGGAGGTCAAGATGAACAGAAAAACATTAAATATAGCAGAGAAAAGGTGGGTGGGGTAATATCTTTTATTGGACCAACTTCTGTTGGTGAGAGAGACAAGCTTTGGAGCTTACACGGAGCTGTTCTTCAGGTCTAGGAAACTTACTCAGAGTGTCACAGCTAAATACAAGATGGAACAGATTGTTTAGCATAAGTAGTTAACACATGAAGAGCCCTATGTATACTCTAAAGGTTGTCTCTCTCACTAACAGAACTTGGTCCAATAAAAGTTATTAGCCCATACACCTTTTCTCTCTAATATCCTGGCTACAACAACACTGCATACATTAAATATAGAAGTCAGCTTAGCAATACAGATGTGACTAACAGAGTATTGCAAACTAAATTGAGTGCTACCTTAGTGTTATACTAGTCCATTGTCCTCAGGTATTGATTTTCATCCTTCCTTCTGACTTGCCTTTTCTTGTACTTGCCTTTTCTTATTTAATCACACAATTTGTATGTTCTTTTAGTGTGTTTTTCCCTGTTCTGAACATTCAAGACTGCAGTGCCACAGCTGATGCTGAGATGAGCCACGGTTGACCATGACCTCCAGTAGCTCCTGTGCTTAAAATATCATCAAGATCAGACAGTGTCTGTGCAATGAGGGTATCACAACTACAGAGTTCTCATCCCTTAAAGTATTACACATCTAACACTCTTGCAGAGACTGGCATTGTATCTAATGATGTTTTGCTAGTGTAACCGACACACTTTCTGGATGTGGTGTTCTCAGGGCTGGTTCCAGGCACCAGCTAAGGAAGCCGGTGCTTGGGGCGGCCAATAAAAAGAGGCGGCACTCCGTCCGGTATCGGGGCAACACGTCCGGGTCTTCGGCAGCGGGTCCCTCATTCCCTCTCTTCCTCTTTGAGCTGCT